GGGGGGGGGGTGGAGCGGCGGATGTCGGTGACAGTCAGGGCAGCCGTTTGGGCGGTGATTCCATGTGGTCAGGCAGGGGATTTGGGCAGTCAGGCGGCCAGCCGGACGTCGAGGAAAAGTATCGCGGCAGATATCGCAGACGGCCGACCAAACACCCCCGTGGTGACGACGCCGTTGCGTTGGCGGGTCAATGCCATGGATTGGCCGAGGTTTTGCGGGGCCTATTGAGTGAAGGAAATGGAAGAGGCTCAGGTGGGGGGGGCGGAGGCTGGGCCGCACGCCGCCCACCTGTCCAGCAGGCCGGTCATCGGGCCTGGTGCGAGGGAGCGAGCAGGGTGTGAGCTAAACGCCAACAAGCGCGCGGGGGGCGGAGGGGGGGGGGGGAGGAGGTTCTTGAAGAGATCTGGCGCTGGCGCTGCACATGCGCCCTGCTTTTCGCGCCCTGGGCCGCCGCTGCAGCGGGCGCGTGCGTGATAGGGACAGGCGCGTGGGCGTGGGCGTGGGCGATGGCTGCCTGCACTGCCGAGTCTTGCCCCAACGTGACGCCTGCGGTCCACCGACTTTTTACGATTACCATAGAGTCCCCACCTGTGTTGGGGCAGTGCACCACGGTCTCCGCCACCGCTGTGGCCGCGCCACCGCCTTGCTCCGCGCCGCCTCCTTGGTACGCGCCGCCCGTCGCGCTGCTTTGACCGCGGTCAAAGGTGACATCAGCAAGGAAGCGCTTGTACCGCCGCACCAGGGTGCAGGGCAGCAGGCCGCCGCTGTACTGCAAGGCGGCCGGGTGGCGGGTGCCGCGGCGGGCCCGATCACAGGCAGCTTTGACACGTGCGGATTTGATGCGGCAGGTCCGGCGGTCTGCGGCCCCTTGTTTGGCCCAATTATGAAGGATGAGGCAATGCGCGGCAGTGCCAGCGATGGAGTGCACTCTGCAAAGATACTGTTGCAGTTCCTGCTACGTGCACGAAAACGCCTCGCGCTCACTGTGTGCAGGACCACCTCTGGTTGCATGCCTGCACCCTCTGGTGGGTTGGACACGGGCCGAGTAGCGGCGGCACCCGCGACGCAGCGGCCGCAGCGTCGCGTGTCAGAGGTGTGACGCAAGCGTGTCTCTAGGTTCCAGCAGTTTGAGACTGTTACACGTGAGGGGTGGCGCCAGAGCAACATGCAGAGATGCCAAGATCGCTGGATGCGATCGAACCCATGCGAGTGTCTTGTCCTTCAATTGAAAAGGTTTCAAATGCATAAAGATATCCATCGATGACTGGGGGCACAGCTTCATCAACAGAAGTAACTTTTGGCGGTCACCGGTGCCTTGTGCTCGCCTACCGCAATTGACAACGTTCCAACACAAACTAAACAGGAACCACTTCATCAGCAGATGTCAACAGCTCCCACACGTGGCCACCAACCCGATGTTGTAGCTCAAGCCGGACACTGCACGCCTGTCCACGCGACAACCGCCAGGGCCTAAGTATGTATCACGCTCGCGTCGATTGCATTGAGACAATAAATGTGCGAGATGGACAATTGTTTTGGCAATGGGCTTGTCGCACCTCACCTGCCGCATGCAGTCAAACGGTCAAACATGCGTTGCCGCGAATGCAGCAACGGGTGAATCGGGGTGCCAAAGAACGTCAGCAGTGCAGGGTATCTTGGATGTTTGACTTTTGTCCATTTTGCAATGCGGCTCCTCCAACCAACAAAGTGGCACCGAAGAAGAATGAATGCCTAAGCGTAGCCACTCAGTGGCAACGCGCAATCGTCCAGGGGCCGAGGCGATCAGATTCCAAGTACATGTGTGAAGTACATTTTCAACCATTCCAAAGCTTCATCTCACGAATTTCAATGCGGTGCTCCTGCCTCAAGGCAGCATGTGCTTGGCACCTTAACAAGCGTCGCGGCCAGGGTGCTTCAGCACATGTCAAGGTCCGACCCCTTAGCTGGCTGCCTCCTGCCCTGGCTTGCGTGCATCACAGCTCTGACTGTCCAGTGTCACGGTCCGGTCAACTGTGAGGTTCGGTGCGGTCAGCTACAGTAGTGGGTTGTTGCCCGCTTGGTGGGGTTGCTCAGTACAACCCCAAAGCCCCGTAGCCCGTGCCGGCAGCAGCTGATTAGTCCCAGGTTCCTCGAATTTACCGTGCACACTGTCATCATGCTTGAGAGTCTGCGATTACCGTGATATAGTTGCGGCGCAGGCGATCTTGACAAAAGGTGACTAAAGCGGTGCAGAAATAGCAGTAGACGCCTTTGATCGGGCGTTATCATCTATTAGTACTTGTTGCTGAACAGGAAGAGGCCCAGGCACCTGCCGGTCGGATCCCAGGCCATACCGGTATGTGCTTGCCACCCCGCTCGCTTGAGCATACAAAACATTTTCTTTCAGCAGGAAGTTACGTCCTTATGCCCTTTTGTGCCCTATCGTAGCCCTTTTCACTCTCGTCGGATCATTTCATCTCCAAGTCGCCCACTCTGGCGCGCCACGGGGGGCGAACAGGCCCGCAGAAGATGCGGCAGGTCAATACAGAACAACTGAAGCTGTGGTTGGAGGACAGCAAATCGGCAGAGGGCCGGCGGCGGCTGCTCGCTGATGGCGGCGTTGCTGCTGCGGCTCGCGGCTTGCTGCTCGCATTCGTGGCGTGGTGAGCGCTGCAGCGGCAATCATGGAGTGCCAGGGCTATCTGGGACGTGTTAATGACCCCATGCGCCTGAGCCCCGCTGCAGCAGCCGTCGCACAGCAGCCGCCGCGTTGTGCTGTGCTGGCTTGCCTTGGATGCTGCGGCGCCTACCCACCGTCCCTCCTCCCATCGCCCGTTTGCACGCCACACCTCCTGTGATGCATCTCGTGCCCCCCTTGCACACCGCCGCACCCCAGGCACGAGCAGTGCGGCGCCGCGCCGGCTGCAGAGCAGCTGCTGCTCTCGCTGCGCCTCCTGCGCAACGCGTGCGCCGCGGGCGCGCCCGGCGCTGCCTGCCTGATGCGGGGCGGGCTGCAGTGCGTCGTCCCTGCCGTCGCCGCAGACCTGTCCGCGCGCCTGTCCTCCCGCGCCGTCTCCTCCCCGGCGCGCGGGGACGAGCGGCAGCTGCTGCTGGCGGCCGTGCAGCTGCTCGCCAACTTCTCGGTGGCTTCCGAGGCGGCGGCGCGCGCGATCTGGCGGGAGTGCTTCCCGGCGGTCTACGAGCAGCTGACCGCCACTGACGACGGTGGGCATGGGCAAGATTTTCTGGGACTGCGCTTAATGCAAACTGCGTCGTTTTCTGGCTGCCAGGAGCCTGCAGCCCTGCCCCAGCAGCAGCGCGGCAGTCAGGGCGGTTCCGGCCGTCGGCGCGCACAGCGGCGCGCGGGGGCCCTGCCAGCCAACCCCAGGCTGGTTGCTCCCATCCTTTGCCCCCATTCCCACCTGTACACCACCCACCTGCGTCTCGCCCCCTGATGTTTTCAATCATGATCCGCGCAGTGGACATCCAAGCGGCAGCCACGCTGTCTATGCTGTCGGCCTGCAAGGCCTCCCCGGCCGCTGCCGCGCAGCTCGCGGCGCCGGCCGGTGCCGGCGTCTGGCGGCGGCTGCTGGCGGCCCTAGTGGACACCGGCGAGAGCGGCGCCGATGAGGGCGGCGGCGGCGACGATGGCGCGCAGGGGGCGCCAGGCAAGGTCGAGGAGTCGAGGGCGGTGCGCGGCGGCGGCCGCGGCGCGAACGACTGCCTTGGGCTGCTGGCTAAGGCGGTGGCTCTGCAGCATGGGCTGCTCTCCCAGCTGATGCGCTCCCTCGAGGCGCCGCTGGCAGGAGAAAACAGGGCGGCCTCGGAAGCGGCCGCGGCGGCGGACGCGGCGGGAGGGCGGGCGGAAGGCTACACGCGCAGCTGGCGTTGGAACGGCGCGCACGTCGCCGTGCTGCATCTATTGGCACACGAAGTGCAGCGGGCGCCCGCTGCCGATGCCGCGGCATCCGACGCCGGCGGCGCCTGCAACGGCGCCGCGGCGGCCACGCGGTGGCCGCGATGTGCGCTGCGGCTCGTGCGCGCGGCGGCGGACGACGTGCGCCGCGCGCAAGCGGGGCTGGGCGGCGCCGGGGGGCTGGCCGCGGCGGCGGCGGCGACGCACGCGTTGGAAGCTGCGATGCAGCTGATGCGGGCGGTGGCGCAGCGGGAGGACGGCGGCGCGCCGCTCTGCGGCGGCGCGGACGCCGTGGCTTTGATGGGAGGATTTGAGGAGGTCAGTGAAGATGGAGAGCAGGGGCAGCAGCAGGTGGGACCAGAGCAGGAGCAGCAACAGGAGCAGGAGCAAGAAGCGCAGGAGGAGGGGGAGCATGCCGCAGTAGCAGAGAAGAAGGAGCAGCAGCAGCAGGAGCAAGCGCACGAGCAGCAGGGCCAGCAGCAGGCGGAGCAGGAGCAGCAGCAACAGCAACAGCAAGAGGAGCAGCAGAAGCAGCAGCAGGAACAGGAACAGGAACAGGAGAAGGCCCGCGAGGGAGAGGCCGCAAGCCCGGCGGCCGTCCGCGCCGCCCCTGAGCAAGAGCAGGACGCCGAGGGGCATGAGCAGGGGCGGGAGCAGGGCGCTTGCGCCCTGGTGGACTCGATGCTCGGCCTGCTAGCCGCCCTCGGCCCGCCCATCAACCCGCGGCGCCCCGACGCGTCGGAGCACGCCCGGCTGCGCGGCGAGCATCTCCGCCTGCTCGCGCCGCGCGCCGCCGCGCTGCGCGCCGCGGCGGGCGCGCCGGCGGCGGCGCCGTACCCGGGCTACCGCGCCGACGTCATCTGCGTGCTGTCAAACGCGCTGCACGGCCGCCCCGCGGCGCAGCGCGCGGCCGCCGCCGGCGGCGCGGCGGAGCTGCTGCTCTCCAGCACGCAGCTGGATGAGGCGGCCCCCGTCGCGCGCGAGTGGGCGCTGTGGGGCGTCCGCAACCTGTGCGCGGGGGGCGGCGGGGAGGAGGCGCGCGCGCGGATGGCGGCGCTGCAGCTGCAGGACGTCGCGGCGGCGCCCGAGCTAGAGAGGATGGGGCTGCAGGTGAAGGTCGATGCAAGGGGCAAGCTCAGCGTGGCGCCGCAGCGTGCGTAGCGCGCGCGGCAGGCCCCCGGCGCCGCCGTTTGGTGCTGCCTTCAGCGGCGCAGAGACGGGGTCAGCGGGGATGGGATTGCAGCATACCGTGTGTTGTGTAGCAGCTAGCACGGCAGGTTCCCGTGGCTAGCACGTGGCGAATTGCGTGGCTTTGGGGGAGGGGAGGCAGCATATGAGCGCTCTAGCATTTTTTTGCGCGCGGGCGCCGATCGCTGTTTCTCTCGGGTTGTGGACGTGGCAGGATGCTGGGCTTTTTCGGGGTGAGGAAGCGGGCCAGCATTTGTTTTTCTCCAAGGCGCCTTCAGATCACCGGGTTCATATAGCGGCAGGACGCTCCGCCACTGTGGGGCGCTGCAACTGCGTGGGCGGGGGGCTCAGTGGGCAGGCAGGGCTAAACGGGCGCAGGTCTACACAGCTGGGGCTTGAATTTGCTTCATCAGGTCTCGTTAGGGCCTGCATGCAGACCCACACACTACAGCATTCCAACTCAATCTCAGTGCCACGCAGCTGGCCACTGCCTGATGTTTGTGAAATTTTTCCTGTGTTCCCCACTGTGCCTGCCAGGCCGCCGCCGGCAAGCGGCAAGTCGCTTGCCGGGGGTCGTGCCATTACGCGCGCCCTTGTGACTCACATGTGTGGCTGGCCCTGCGGCCAGCGGCCCGTCCTAGGTCCTTGATTCGTTGTATGCACCGCAGATTGCAACATACAGTGTCGCTTCTTGTAACTCTCATGTAACAACTTCGTGGCCGCAGCTTTGATGACACGCGATGTTGCTTGGCTGGATTTGGGTTGGCGGATGCCAGGTGTGGCGCAGGGGTGGTTACCATCCGGCGCTGCGTGCGCCCCATGGAAGCCCCAGTGCATGCTGCTGCAGATGCAATCAGCAGTTTACAGCGAGGCTGGACTTATGATAATCGTGGCTGTTAAGAGGAGCTTGCTAGCAAACCAAGGTGGTTGTGTGCAACAGCTGAATCCAGCGTGGAGTCATGGAGGCCGCCGGTAATGTGAATGTGCGAGCGGCGGTGCGGCATGCCGCAACTTTGGACTAAAATTTGAAACTTTGTATGCGGAGCGTTTCCATCAGGATACAACGCAACAAGAGACTTGGATTGCCGCGAGATCCAAGAAAAGCGCGAACTGATCTCGGCGCCGTCGCAGCAAACATGAAGACTTTCAAACCGAAAGGCTCCAAGAACAAAGAAACTCCACTCGATGCCAACTTAGAAGGGCTGCAAAGGTCAGCAGTCGCCGCAGGCGCATCCAAGCAGACGCACAACACCAGGCCCGCGCACGCCCTGCCTGTGACGCACAACGCTGCCCCCGCCTCTGGCGATCACAGGGGCAGCGCTCGGTGGTCAGGGCTCGACCTGCTGCGATCTGGGGGCGCTGTGTCGCCGCTGCGCCCCCCAGGGCGCCCGGCAGGCGCCGCGCACGTCGGGGATCAGGTCCAAGGCAGCCGGGCTCATTCTGATTGCGCACCCACCGGAAGGAGTGCAGGGCACTTGGGGACGCTGCCAGCCAGCCGCAGGGGCATCGTGACAGGATCGGATCAACCAGGCTCCCGCAGCAGCGACGGCGACGACGATGGCGATCCTTACGACTTCCCTTACGACGGCGGCGCCAGCACGCACGCGCAGCGCGCACGCAGCGTCGCGCTCGCGGCGCCGCCGGCGGCCCGCGGCGCGGCGGGGCCGTCCCGCATGCCGGCGCTCCCGCGCCCTGGCAGGGCTGCCAAGACGTGGCGGGAGGGCGCCGC